AGGTACCTATTTGACCATCGTTTGGTCAGAGTTCTCTGCCTCATGTCCTACCCTCTGACCTGCCTCATGGTGACCTTACAACTAATACCTGAGTCGTGCCGAGTCCGGACCCCTCCCAATGAGTAAGCGCTCCTGCTGTCACATCAGTCACCTGCCTGTGAGTGAGGATGGGCGCTCCTGGCCGTCACGAGGTCTGGGGTTCCATCCTGGCCCCTCCACTTTCCGATACGAGTTGTCCGCGGTCAAGGTGAGCGTCTGTCCCAGTACACATGACCCCCAGGTCACGTGGCATGAGAAAACTGTGACACTACCCCCTCTTCAAGATCTGAGCTCCTGCAAATCGTTCAAACCAGATATTGCATTGAAACTCCCGGGCGACTGGTCGTGGGTTGTTGAGAGCGATTGGTTGCGGTGCGTTTGGATGGAGTGCATAGAACTCATCGAGTAGCTCCTTCACGTATTTGACATTCCGTACAGGTTCCCAAGTTGCTTCAGAGACATCGTAGCCAGCCCATTTGACGAAGTATTGCACGTATCCACGGTTGACGCGTGAGTCCAGGATCTTTTCGACCTCAAACTCGTCGTGGCCTTCGACTTCAATTGGGTCAGGCTTCTCCGGATTGCAGTTGCCGATCTCGTCTTCGTGGTAGGGGATAAGCTTTGAAGCATGGAAGACGGGGTGGACCTTGTTCTGTGGTGGAAGTTTGACTCTAAAGTCGACGGGTCCAATCTTTTCCGTTATCTCGTAGGGCCCATAGTTCTTGGCTGAGAGCTTGGCTGACGAGTTGCGGATCTTGAGGTCGCGTCCTTTGAGCAAAGCTTTGTCGCCAACCTTGAAGGGAGGGTCCACACGGCCCTGATCGTAGTACCATTTCATTCGTTCTGCGGCCATGGTGAGTGACGCCTGTGCTTGTTCTCTTGCTTCCGCACGGTTGTGAAATACGTCTTCGAGGGTTGGGAAGGCGAGCTCTTCACGAACGTCAGGAGCCATCTTTGGGTTGTACCCGTATTCGATGAAGAATGGTGACAGGCCAGTCGACTCGTGTGGCGCATTGTTGTACGCAAACTCCGCGGTGGATAGAAGGGACGCCCAGTCGTCTGGCCGATGTTCAGTGAAGATCCGGAGGTACTGTTCAAGAGATTGGTTTACTCGTTCAGTCTGTCCATCTGTTTGTGGATGGTAGGCTGTGGACATTGACTATCGAATCCCTAGCAACTTGCAAAACTCCTTGAACGCTGCACTCGCAAACTGTGTTCCTCGGTCGGAGATGATCTGTCGGGGAATACTGTGGTGCTTCAGAATGTGCTCGTAGATGAGTTCGGCTGCTTCTGTTGCTGAGAAGTGATCGTCGGCTGCAAAGAAGTGGGANCGCTTGGAGAGACGATCTACTACTACTACGATT